ATTTTGTATAGATTAGTTGATAAGACCACTCGAGAGCCACAGCAGGGATAGCTCCAGGAGCTGGCTCTGGAGCTACCTTCACTGCAGCTCTGCATTTTAAATGTAGCAAGAGTCTGGTGTCTCTTACTACATTTAAAATGCAGAGGCACAGCAGCCTGGACCAGCGCAAGCCTGGACTGCTCAGTCCTACCTTGCACTGAGTCCAGCAGCCCCTGTTCGTGGTGGACAGGGATTGCCATCACAACAGAGGCTGCTCCTGCATCAGCCCCTGTTCGTGGCAGCAGCACCTGTCTGCAAGGGGGCAGAGTTCCCTACTGGGACCCCTGCTTTGCAGCAGCTTCCCCTATCCCCCTGCTGCTTCTGTCAGAGGCAACAGGGGAAGGGGTGGCAGCACCCTGGAGATGGTGCTGGGGGAACCGGCTTTTAAGCCAGTTCCCTCCAGCACTGGCTTCTGTCCCCTAGCTGCCTCTGCCAGCAAAGTGTGGGGAGGGCACCACGGAGCACAGGGCAAGCGGGGATTCAAGCAGTCCCTGCTTGCCTTGTTCCCCATGCGTGCCTATTTCAAAGGCTGAAGCATCACAGTAGGAACCAGCATGAACAGGGGATGCTTCACTCCCTGCTCATGCAGTTTCCCTGTTGTGCTTTACCTCACCTGCCCCCCTCCTCCCCCCCCCGGATAGAGGCAGCAGGGGGGAAAAGGAAATGATTAGTTGAGTCGCTACTCAAATACCCAGGAAGCATATTTATGCTTATTGGTTATTTCAAAGGCTGAAGCATCACAGTAGGAACCAGCATGAACAGGGGATGCTTCACTCCCTGCTCATGCAGTTTCCCTGTTGTGCTTTACCTCACCTGCCCCCCTCCTCCCCCCCCCGGATAGAGGCAGCAGGGGGGAAAAGGAAATGATTAGTTGAGTCGCTACTCAAATACCCAGGAAGCATATTTATGCTTATTGGTTAGTTGACTAGTTGCTTACATCCCTATTACCAGGGCTCGATAAATCGCTGTTTCTACTCACCCGAGGCAAGTAGATTTCAGCCAGTCACCCTGTTCACTGGCGGCATGCACATGCGCAGTGCGGGTCTTGTTCATGCGCAGTGCGGGACTGGCAAGTAGATTTCACCGCTGTTTGTCAAGCCCTGCCTATTACATATTGAAACATTTGACTGCTCAGTTATGTACAGATAGCAGTGGTCCACAGGCCAAAAAGTTTGAGACTTACCTGGCTCAATGTAAACTTTTCGCTGGACCACCATTTGCTAATGGAAACTCAGCATTAATTACATAATTTCACCTGAGCTGTTTTGCTAGTGCTGCTAGGGTGAATGTTTTAATTTAAAGTATTAAACAGATCAAGCATTTTTACTTATGTTCATCAATCTACACTTTATATAAAGTAAAATATTAATTTTTCTGATACAAAAGGTTTCAATGTGGCTTTTTTGCAGGGTTGGGGAACCTTTTTTGGGTCAAGGGGCCACTGACCCTCACAGCAATCAGTTGAGGACCCCAGAAGTGAGAAGCAAAAAACCTTCAAAAACCCCCAGCCTTTGTTCATGTGGCCCTCAATTAGACACCTCACTCTTCTGTGCTCTATTCCCCATGGAGTGAGGGGAAAGGACAGGGAGGACTGAGGTTCAGGGTTTCCCATAGGCCAGATGTATTTTTTGGGGGTTTCAGAGTTAGTGGATCTTATGGACCCCCTTAGGCTTTGGGGTAGGGACAGAAATGTGGGGTTTAGTGTGTGGGACAGGGCTGCCAGCAAGTGGGTTAGGGTTGGGAGTGCAGGATCTGGGAGGGAGGTGGTGTGCCGAAGGGGGAGAGATTGTGAGGTCTGGATAAGAGGTAGGGTGCAGAAACAGGCTTGGGAGTAGGGTGTGAGTAGGGTGTCTGGACAGGTGGAGGGAGCAGGAGCAAGGGAGGGTGCTGTGTGGCCAGGAAAGAGGGAACAGGAGCGGATTGGGAGTAAGGTGTCTGGCCAGGAGGGAGATGCTTACCTGCCTCGTGCCCCCTTGCAGCGTGGAAAGCCACCAGACAGTGCATCACTGCACTGCTCTCCAGCAGAGTGGGGAGGGAGCTCAGCCTCCATCCCCATGCAGCAGGAAGCCTGCTCAGCCATGAGGCTTCAGCATCTGCTCTGGCTTCCCACTCAGAGGGTGTGTGGGGTAGGGGGAAGTGAAGACAATCCCAACCTTCCATGCCAGACCCAGCTCCCGGAGAGAGGCAGAGCAAGTAGCTCTGTAGCGCATGGAGCTGCTTGCTCTGCCTCCTGGTAAGCCAGGGAAGATAGGGACTTTCTTCTCACTGCCCCCTGCACATTCTGAGTGGAAAGCCAGAACTGGTGTTGTAGCCTCACGGCTGTGTGGCTCAAGTAGCAGCATGGGCTCCCCACTGTGTTGGGGGTGGGGAGGAAAGGGACACTGAGTTGGAGTTGTGGACTGCTAGTGGCCTGTGGACTGCACTTTGAGAACCACCGTTGTAGAGGTATGCACAGTTTTTCTCACTGCTCCACACACTTTTTGCCCAGGGGAGGTTTAGGGGGGGTGAAACAAAGTTTGTGGTGAAAAGTTTGGAAAAATAGACATGAATATGTAGTTGGGTGGTTTTCTGTAGCTTGGAAGTAATTAGTCAAATGTGAAAAGATTAATGGTAGATTGTATCTAATATGATCTTAAAATAAGGAAGCAGCTGCAAAAGACTCATGCAGAATCTGGGTGATGGAAAAAGGGACAAAGAAGGTTGCTACTTCCTGGTATGTAGGTCTAGAAGATGCAACAGATGTTCTATTGATGCTATTGAGGCATTAGATTTGATAGGTCACAACACTGCATCAGGTCCATTAATAAAATATTTCTTGAGGGGAAGGGTTTATTGGCTTATCTTTGTGTTAATGACAGACTAAAATTAGGGCTTAATTTTCAACTGCTTAATGAAACAAATGTATCAAGTAGCATTACCAATTTAATGCATAGGAAAATGATTACCATGTTTGGACTTAATCTGACTTTACATCAGTGATGGAAGAGGATAGCTATTTAAACAGGTAACCGAACATTACTGTGCCCAAACAGCTACATGACTGCATGGGCCTCCAGCTACTGAGGAGTCGCAGCAGCATGGGACTGCAGGTCTTAAAATCTGGCTTTCTTGGGGAGCTGGCTGCCACCCCACTTGTACGAAAACTTCAGCAGTTACTTGGTTAACCAATTACATGCATTATAACATTCTTACTTTTCATCAAAGAACTTTAGGAAAAAGTGGTTTTTAATATTATTGAATGATCCTCTACAATAGTATAGGAAGCATTAGCAAATTTGGCATGCATTAAGAATACCCAACTAACATCTGACTGTTCCATTCTTGTGAGCTTTAGAATTAAAGCTACCACTTGGTGCTTGCAGCTAGTGTTTTCTGTGTTAAAATGCCAACAGTGTCCTTGGCACTCTTATCAGGCAAATAATGCCTGCCTTACAGGATTTGGGGATTTACTGATTAGAACACAGACTAGATGCATTGGGAAATCACAGGTGATAGTGGTGTGTTGAGGTGGATTGACACTCTGTGGCCATGTTGAAAAAAATGGGTTTTTAAGAATAGCTATGCATTGTACTGCCCTAAGTTTAGGGATCAAGGCAAAGGAGAAAAGGAAGTAAAGAGGATAAAGCCTGCATAATAGAGCAACATAGTACATCCATTTGGATAAATGCAGGCCTAGTGGTACCTTTACACATTCTAAACATACAGTCACAATCAGCTGAAGGTATCTACACTACAAAAGTCAACTGAAGTAATGTCATATTTTGTATGTAAAGTAATTGAATTGCTTTTGTGTCAACATTACACTTCATGTCAGCAGAGAGCATCTTCACCAGGAGTCCTTGTACTGACTATATTGTTGTGAGGGAGGTTGTAATAAGACTTCTGAAAGCCAATAACACTTGGTGTAAGCAACAGTGTCTACGCTAATGCTGGGTGGAACTAACTAAATTGATTGCTTTAGTGCCTGTTAATTCAGTATAGTGGGGTAATTACATTAGTATGAGCAAAATTTTAGTTTAACTCCGGTTGTTATATCGAGTAATTGAATAGTTGAGTAACCGCATTAATTCTTATTGGTTAGTCAACTATTCTGTAGTCCCTAATGTAGGCAGCCAGTGCATTCCAGCCTCTCCTGGTGCATGCTCGGCCTTTATAAGGCAGCAGTGTGGGGTGCCAGTCAGGAGCTGGTCTAAGGAGAGCCAGCTTAAAAACCAGCCCCCTGTGCAGACCAGCTGCCTGCTGCTCCCACTGATAGAGGCAGCAGCATGGGGTGGCAGCAGCCCCTGTCCACAGGGGGTCCGAGCTCCCCGCAGACACATGCTGCTCTTCCCACTGAGTAGTCTCTGTCTGTGGTGAGTCTGGCCTTGCCATGTACAAAGGCTGCTTTGCAACAGTAGCCCCTGTCTGCAGGGGGTTGGAGTTCCCCCACAGACAGAAGCCCAGGCTCACCAGAGAGGCTGCTCTGTGGGAGGCAGAGCAGTGTCTGTGTACAGGTAGCTCAAGCTCACTGCAGACAGACTGCTTTGCAGCAGCTTTCCCTGTGTGCACCACTCCCCACACTCTGTTCAACGGTGTGGGGAGGTGGCGGCAGTACCATGGAGCCAGTGCTAGGGGGGGAAATGGCTTTTAAGCTGGATTCCCCCCTTTGCTGCCTCTGATGCAGAGGCAGCAAGGGGGGGGGAATGCATGTAGTCAACAAGATTAACTGATAATCATATAATTTACTACCCATTGACATCCCTACTCTGGGTAAGAGTCAGTATTGTTGTGCTGTTAGGCAGATGTAATGAGGACAGCATTTGGTCTGGATGTCTTAAAGTAGTAATATAAATATTTAACTGGTGGGAGCTGGAGCAGCCTCTGTCCATGGTGGCTCCCCCCACCCCCCCGGCAGGGGCGGGCCCGGGGACTGAACGGCCACTACAAAAGTGATGGGAGTATCTCACTGAGCTTCTGAATCACCTTTTTCCCTTCTTTCAGATGGAAAGAATGCAAGTGGATCCAAACGTTACACTCGTAAAAGAGAAACTTCATATTCAAAAAATGAGAACTTTTCCAGTCAATCCCGTCGCTCCAATTCACAGAAAAGCAAAGCTTTTAACAAGATGCCCCAACGGCCACTACAAAAGTGATGGGAGTATCTCACTGAGCTTCTGAATCACCTTTTTCCCTTCTTTCAGATGGAAAGAATGCAAGTGGATCCAAACGTTACACTCGTAAAAGAGAAACTTCATATTCAAAAAATGAGAACTTTTCCAGTCAATCCCGTCGCTCCAATTCACAGAAAAGCAAAGCTTTTAACAAGATGCCCCCTCAGAGAGGGGGCACCAGTGGCAGTGGCAAACTTTTTAGCTCTTGTAATGGTGGAAGACGAGATGAGGTGAGAATTGTAATGCCATGTCTGCAAGTCCTTCTTACATGAGACAAGAGGATCACTGTGACCTGCTAGTTAGGTCTCTTGAGTTCCATTCCTGGGCTGGGAATGGAAAGAAACCCTAGGTAAAAACCTCACTCAATCTGGCATCTCAGCGATATCAGAACAACTGTACATCATCTAGGAAGAGGATGCTTTTTGGGCTGAGATCTCTTCAATAAGAAGACAAGTGAAACTAACAGAAGTACAATCTAAGGAATGGGTGTATAGTAAGGCCATATACATATTGTGAAACACAGCTCCTTCATGAAAACCATCTCCTAGTAATACAGCTTACAGTTCCTAAATCTGAGATACATATATGTCCAGTCAGTTGTGTACTCAAATCCCACATTATGGAATGATTACCAAAGTAAACTTACTAGCCTTGATGTGATCTAGTGAGGAATGAAGGCACTGTGGGTGATCTGCCTTCTGGCGTAAATGATCACGTTACTTGTATATTAAATTGCTAATTTAAAGAGATCATATATTTACACTATATTTTGAGTTTCAATTCTTTCCATTTCAGCTATATGGAAACTAATTTAAAATCATGAGACCTCTGGAATGAATCAAACTTGCAATACTGATTTGCTTTAATGGGATATTGTTAGTTTTAAAATAGCTTTTGTTACCCATGTCTCTAATTCTAAACTAGTTTCACTTTTTGTGACATAGGGTTGCTTTATCACTTCTATTTGTTCAATGGAAAAATTACTCAGTTGTAACTTTCAAATTCCTTTGTATTTCTAATATTGCAGTATTTGCTATTCAGACGTGGAGTCATAATGTGAGTAGGTAGTGCTAGAGCATTTCCTTGTATACCATTGAAATGAAGTAGACATCGGTATTGATAAGTTGCAAGTACCAGCTTCTAGTGAATTCTAATCAGAACTATGGTGTGTGTGTGTGTGGTTTTTGTGTTCTTTGTCTGTAGGTAGCAGAGGTTCAACGGGCAGAGTTCAGCCCTGCCCAATTCTCTGGTCCAAAGAAGATTAATCTGAACCACTTACTGAACTTCACCTTTGAACCGCGTGGCCAAACAGGTCACTTTGATGGGAATGGACATGGCAGCTGGGGGAAAAGGAACAAATGGGGACATAAACCCTTCAACAAAGAGCTCTTCTTACAGGCCAAGTGAGTGGAAGATCAGCAGGGCTCCTAGACATTTATACAGTTGAACTCTAAGACCATAGTGATTAAACTGTGTTGGGATTCCAGAGTGGGTTGCATCACCTTGTTTTAATGGAGTTGCCAGTTTTGGCTTAGACTTGCTGGAGTTTGGGGTCAAAGCAGAGGCCTGAGCACCACCACCGAGAGCCAGATCTGAAGTCCTAGGACTTCAGCTGTGGGTAGTAGGTCTTACGTTACAGGTTTTGGCTTTGCTCCCCCTCCAACCATCCAGGGCAGCAGGGTTTGGCTGGGCTCAGGCTTTGTTCTCCCCTCCTGGAGTTGTATAACGATTTTTGTTGTCTAGAGTGGACTACTATACAATGCAGTTCAAGAACCTCTGCCTCAGGAAATGTGTATTCCATTCTCTGTATGTGACTGTCAGGAAATTATGTATTTACTTATACTGAGTGTTTGTAGAAGGGCTTTTTTGTAGTAGTTACTGAAGTTCTCCACTGGTTATGCCTTTCCCTTGCTTTGGTACTAGGATTACCTTCTGCCTATATAAAAGGGAGAAGGATGTCCTATCCTTGATTATAAAAATTGATACTGGTATCTGAAAGGAAGTGAATTAAATGGACTGAGTGTGGTGGATGGAAAGGGTAATATATCCTTCTGCACAGACACTCAAGCACCACCTGTAAAAATGTAATGTACGTTGTTGGGTGCCTTTCCCACTAAAATAACTCAATTTCCTTTGTAGCTCAAGTAATGTGGTATAAATGAAACCAACCCAATTCATCTTAGTACAGCAAGACATTAAAAGGTGCTCCTTTTGGGATCAAGCCAAATCTCAATTTTAAATCCTCATATGCAGAGATCTTTGTTTTTAAACAGATGTATAGTAAAAGTTGTAGTAATTTTTATACTCGTACTTTAGGAATATACACTGAATGCATCAATTAAAGTATCGTAAAATCACGAGTATAATGGGCACTTTTTTCCCGTTTTTAGGCTCAAAACCGGGGTGCACATTATACATAGGAGCAATTTTTTTAACGTTTTTAAACTTCCCCCTCCCCTCTGCATGGAAACTTTCCTGCTTCAGTGCAGCACAGGAGCCGCTGCCCTGCCAGGCTCCTGGACAAGGCGAGGAGTCGTCGGCGCCGCCAGGCTGCAGCGCCCTGGCTCACTGCCTGCCTAGTGCTCCTTCAGGCTGTGCCTGGGGGTCCCCGCGGCAGGCATGAGCTGGCGCAGTGCACAGGCAGCTGTCTGCTGCACGTGCATTTCCCAGGCGAGCCTGCAGGTAGGAGCAGCACGGCCTTCTCTCCCGCTCTCCTGCAGCCTGGAGCCGCCTCTGGGAAGCAGGTGAGATTGGGCTTGGTGCTGGTGGGTCGGCTCCTGGTGCAGCGGGGCAGGCCGTGTTGCCGCCCACAGCACCCATGCAGAGACCAAGAAATTCTGGACTTCAGAAACAGGTTACCTCCCGTTCTCCTGTACAATGGGGTGTGCATTGTACATAGGAGTTCAGTTTTTTCATTATGCTAAGATTTTAAGGTCAGGGTGTGCATTATACTTGCGATTTTACGGTAGTCAGTTTATCAGAGCATGAAAGACAAGTTTCATGTACATTAATGGCTTTACCTTTAATTTGAGGCAGGTTTAACCTTTCACAGTCTTAAAAGTAGTGACCAGATACAGAAAAAGTACTGCTATAATTGCTGTTCTATGGTAAAATGTGAACTTACTTTGTGTGTAAAGACTTGAGTGAATAATATGTGATCTTTCTGCCTTGTGTTCTATTTCAGTTTCCTTTATGGAAAGCCATATCCTCTTAAGTTCCCTTTTGTTTAGCCTGTTCTCAGAAAAGAACTTCCTGCAACGTAGCCAAACTGCAGGGAGAACTGTGTCCAAGAATGTGCTGGATCTGAACTTAGCCCTATTAATATAATTGATAACAGATGACATTGGTCAGCCTATATGCCAGATCTTTTCACATACCTGGTGTATGGCACTTCCTGGGTACTACCTTTAAGAAAAGGACTGACTTAGTCTCTTGAGGATCTTAATCCAAAAGCTTGCTTCTGCTGACACCTGCGCACAATTGGAATAGGTGATTTGTTAATTACAATACTTTCTGTCTTCCATCTAGCTGCCAATTTGTGGTGTCTGAGGAGCAGGACTACGCAGTGAACTTTGCTGACCCAGATACCTTGGTCAACTGGGACTTTGTGGAACAAGTGGTCAGTAGTGATGGGATGGCTTTAAAAACTTATTTCTCTTCATCTATCTGATACAAAAGTACCTATTTGTTCTAGTTCATTTTGACATAATGTGACTTTAGTTGCTATCCAGTGTCTTTCCTTTCAAGTTTTGAAAGACTTCATGTGACAGGAACTTAATATTGCCAAATACTGTTAGGAGGAAGGAAGACTTCTTTCTCCTTGTTTTATAAATGGAAGTTAGTTAGGAATAGGCTAGTTCTGACATCCTTTTTCCAGAGCATTATGTAGTAATGTCAGCCTTCTGACAAGGTCACAGGTATGGAGTTGTTGGAAATGTGCTGTGTAGAATGCCTCTAGAGACACTTATCCTATGCCTGGGTAAACCTCTTTTGCTTCACAACAAAAATCTGTAGCTACTCAAGATTCCAACCGGATCTAGAAATGGCTCTTTCAAGATGCACTTAAGTGATGCAGAGCATGCATTTGGGAGGGAAGGATTTGTACTGTTACCCTGAGACTAATGCACACATTCACACTCCTCTCCCTCCCCCTCCCCCATAGCTATATTCTAAGACTACACCACAGAAGCATCTGTCTACTCTTCTAACATTCCATTAGAAATTTAGGTCCCATCAATTTCTTTAGTCATGGGAGATGCAGAGAAAGTTTACCTGTGTAGTTAGGTTTTGAAGTCATTAAGGTGACACCAAGAAGTCTGCTGCTATCTGTCATCTGATAGTAACTAATCTTGTGATGCTGCTATTCCTGAAGATGGGCATCAGTGAACATAAAAAGGGAAACTAAATTGACTGCAGTACCAAGCTTTTGTTGTACATTGAAAGTCTGACACTGGTAACCTGTTAATGCGTCTACCTTAGGCACATTTTAGCACAAATCCTTCTGGGCCCTCAATCCCTAGCAAAGATGTTTCTGGAGAGGTGGGCAGGAATGAAAACAAAGATGTAGGCATCCCCAGGATCCTTTTATAAACTTGCCCATGCAGAGGGAAATCTGTTATTCTCTTGAGTGGTGGCATTTCCCAGAATGGAGCTCATTTTGATCACCATGATTACTCTGTCCTTTTTGGGAAAGGTTCTATAAGGGTCCCAGGTATGTCCCCCTTAGACGGGGGCCATCGTATGCTCCTCAGGTGTCAGTTAGCAACACTTAAGACAGGGATGGGCAGTAATCTCTGCCCAGAGATCACTCAAATTTTTGAAGTAGCCCCAGGTCACCCTGGAAGGAGTGGGGCTACTCCACCTCCAGACTGATTGGTCTGGGAGTGGGGGAGCATGGGAAGCCCGTGCCCTGCAAGGAGCACATGGCACTTTGAAGTCGAAGGAAGCTGCCTGCGGCTCCCCAGCCCCGATTGGCCTGGAGGTGGGGGAGCGTGCAAAGCCTCCTCCGCTCTCCCCTCTTCCCGCCCCCTGGCGAGCAGTGTGTTCTGCTTCAAAGTGCCATGTTCTCCTGGCAGGGTGGGAGGAGGCTTCACATGCTCCCTGCCCCCAGGCCACTTGAGGGAGAGTGCATGAAGCCTTCTCCACTCTGCCCCTGCCCTGCGAGTGGCGCTTTGAAGTGCTGTGTGCCGCTCACAAGGTGGGGGCAGAGCGGAGAGGGCTTCGTGTGCTCTCCTGCCTTCAGGTCCTAATTGGCCTGGGGGCAGAAGAGCAGCAGGGCCTCTGCAGGCTGGATCCACTGCCAAGTCCCTTTTGCCCACCCCGACTTAAGAGCTATTGTCCATGCAGTATTCACTGGGACACTACTCACAATAGGTGAGTGGTGCCTGCACGGTCTCCTAGACAGAAAACATTTAAAATATAAGTACAGAGCCAATATTCATAACTTTACATATAAAAATCATACGAGTATTACTAGCATGAATAGAATTAGCAAAGCTTTCATTTGGGGATGTAATAGTGTAGTTGACGAACTGATAAGCAAAAGTGTATAGGTTAATGCTATAGACTACACGCATTCTCCCCCTCCCCTTGCCAGTAAACTTTTTTAGCAGGCTGGCCAGCAGCCTGGCTCAGTCTTTGCTCCTACTGGGTCCGGGACCTACCCCCACTGCAGCTCCGCATTAAAAGTTTATTAGGAGCTGGAACTATCAGAGGCAGCAGTGCAGGGCGACAGGCAGCCAAAGGGAGCTGGTTTTTAAACTGGCTCCCCTCATGGACCAGCTCCCCTCAGCACTCCGTGCTGCTACCTCTGATACTACTGTAGTCCCCCACTGGCCCCTTGCTCCCTGTAGCACTTCTGCTTTTGAAATGTAGTGAGAGCCCTGGTCTTGCTACATTTCTAAGGTGGAAGTGCTGCCAGTTCCATGCTGTGCCCCCTGACTCCCCTTTTTTCCCCCCACAGAGACAATGCTAGTGGGAACCAACTTTTAAGCCAGCTCCCCCAGCACCAGCTGCTCCCCCCACTGCCTCTCTAAAGGCAGAGGGGGTGCGGGAGGAAGTGACTAGTTGAGTCACTAGCATCTTGCATCCCTACTTTGTACAGAATCTGGGGAAAACACACAACAGTGGGTGCAACAGTGATCTGCCTACTTACATTGAAATCCAATAATGTGACACCAGCCTTCTTGGAAAGGTCCCAGTCTGTCTTGGCCAAACATTTCTACCCTCTAGAGAAAGTGACTGACTTTTCAACATATTTCCGTTTTCTAATGTTAGTAACTTATTTGTATTATTCTTCTATTATGGCCATCCAGCGAATCTGTAGCCATGAAGTGCCCTCGTGCCCAATATGCCTATATCCACCAACTGCAGCTAAGATCACCCGTTGTGGGCATATCTTCTGCTGGGCATGCATTCTACACTATCTCTCCCTGAGTGAGAGAACCTGGAGCAAATGCCCCATCTGTTATGGGTCCATTCACAAGAAGGATCTCAAGAGGTAAGATTTACAGACTACTCAGATTCCTTCATCTGTTTGTAAAGTTGATTCTTGCTACTTAGTTTGTTCCTGTATTGCAGTGTTGTTGCTATGGAAACACGCCAGTATGCAATTGGTGACACCATTACTATGCAGTTAATGAGAAGGGAGAAAAGTGTGTTGATACCACTGCCCAAATCCAAGTGGGTGAATGTAGAGCAGCCCATTCACTTGGGAGGTGAGTACTCCATGAAATCTCTTCTGGAATGTTGGCTGCATGTATGACAAACCTGATTGTGGAAGCAGGTTGCTATGGGAAACCTCACTTAGCTCACTATGGATGCATTTATATATGGCCCATTAGAAACCTTTAGTATTTGAAAGTAACTCAATCCTTGTACTTAATCGAGTTAACTATCATCTCTTAAATTACTAAATTGCAGTCTCCTAAGGTACAGCTACACAGCAACTTTATTTTTAAATAACTAGCGTTATTTTGAAATTTAGTCCACAGCTACACAGCAGGCGGTGATTTTGAAATAATGTTGAATACTGTCAAGCTGGAAGACTTCTTACTCTAACTCCCGTAATCCTCATTGTATGAGTAAGGGAAGTCAGGAAGAGCTTATTCAAAATAATCTGTGTAGATTCTCCCAGTGTTGAAATAAGCTACACAATTGATGGAGCTCAATTTGTGTACCTTATTTCATGTTAAGGTCTTCTCTGTAGACGCACTGCTACTCTAGAACTCCCTTTCTTCCATAAACTTCCTCCAGTACACTGTGTTCCTCTAGTATGGTGCAAGGTCCTGCCATCCCAGAATAATTTACTGAATGTTTGTTCTGTATTTCATAACTATTTATGCATCATTGCAGAGCTCATTTCTTTTTGTTGGTCTTAGTTCTTCATCTGTCTGGGTTTTTTCCTCTTCAACCAATAACTTGGCAGGAGAGTGATTTATTTTAGATTTGACTTTACCATGAATTACAGAATAATTGTAGCAGCAGCATGTATATGATTCTACCAGTGGAATCTCCTGATAGGTGATAGGAAAACTTGCAGATCCTTGGAAACCTATCTCTGGCTTGATTAAGAACATAAGGGCTATACTGGGGCAGACCAAAGGTCCGTCTAGCCCAGTGTTCTGTCTGCTGACAGTGGCCAGTGCCAGGTGCCCCATAGGGGGTGGACTGAGGACAATGACCAAGTATTTTGTCTCCTGCCATTCTTCTCCAGCCTTTGACAAACAGAGGCCAGGAGCACCATTCCTTACCCCCTGGCTAATAACCTTTTATGGACCCAACCTCTATGAAATTATCTAGCTCTTCTTTTAAACTGTTACAGTCCTAGCCTTCACAGCCTCCTCTGGCAAGGAGTTCCACAGGTTGACTGTGCGCTGTGTGAAGAACTTTCTTTTATTAGTTTTAAACCTGCTACCTATTTCATTTGGTGTCCTCTAGTTCTTATATTATGGGAACAAGTAAATAATGTTTGAGCTTCATAGTTATTTATACAGTGTTATACACTTAAAGCACTAATGGAAAAGATCGTGTTACAACTTGTGACTGCTGATAAGTTCTTCACGTTATCACTACTGTTTTATGGGTTATTTTTACCTCTGTGGTCTTTCAACCACTCCTATGCAAGGAAAGAAATTAAACTATTTCTATGCTCTAGGATCCTATATCGGGGGATTGGCCTTTAGAATAATTTCAGATGTTTATCTTAGGTATCGAGAGTTACAATTGCGCATGCATCAGTAACTCTTGAGGGTGGGGACATACAGCACTATATTGATATTGTAATGCTTGGCACTGGGATAACTGCAAACCCAGAAGAATCGGTATTAAGCTTGCTCTTAAAGGAAATCTAAATGTGGCAAAAGATGCAAAATGCACATATAAGATTGCTCTTTGCACCAGAGTAACACTATGAAACTGGGCGATGGTTGCATTTGGAAGAATGAAGATACCTAATGTCCTGTTAAAAGTTTATGTGGGTTTTCAAACACTGAAATTAATAAAAGCAATTTGGGGTAGAGGAAAGGAATATTTTGGTCACTATTTTAAAGTTTAGGTTTGATACCAAACTCTAAGGTTCAGTTCCTAGCCCTCAGTGAGAACCATCATCCTGAGGTCAGCCATCAAAATGAGGGAAGACTAGACTTGTCATTCCTGATGCTGTAAAGGGGTTAAGGCAGGAAATCCTTTTAGACAGTTTATTTAATAAAGAGCTCAAAGGTCCTCCCCTTTTTTAAAATAGAAGCCCATTGTAGAGTCTTTAAATGTAAAGAATCACACACTACAAATATTTGTGAGCAAGTCACTAAAACAAATACAGTGTAAACATTCTGCAAGAATTTCTATAGAGACTGTTAACTTCATAATTTGCCATGGGAATTTACAATAAACTGCTCTCCTGTCATAGTAACTTCTTGCCAACACCCTTGTTTATGCACAGATCTAATCTTTAATAGACTTGCCGGCAAAGGGTAGATAAGATTATAATAGGAATGGATAAGTTGAAATTAGAGCTTGCTTCACATTGGGTGTCTACATGGATGTCTTTCTGATATTCTTTCCCTGGCCAGATGAGCAGCACAGCCAATACTCTAAGCTGCTGCTGGCATCCAAGGAGCAGGTGCTTCAGTGGGTGATTTTGGAAGAGAAAGCAGCATTACTCCGACAGTATGAGGAAGAAAAGCACACCACTGAGGCTTGTTTTATCGAGGCAGCTATCCAGGAACTGAAGGTGAGGACTACCCTCCAGTTGTGGTAGATTGTTAATGGTTACTTTATGCTTATTATGTGTGGGGTTTTTTAAATGAAGGCCACATATTTAGTGACTTTTTTTGTATTATTTGGTGAGGGAAGAGGGAGAATTCTTCAAGTCTGTCAATATAAATATGGGAATTCAGTATCTACTGTAGCAATGATGTGTTAAAGAAAATACTCTTGCTTTGGAGCACTAGATACTAGCAAGGTAGATATTGGTGGCACCTGCTGATCAAAAGCAGCAGTATAAATACAGAAAGGGAATAACTACATACATGCCTATCACTAACAGAACTTTGCCACCAGCTTCTGAATGGTGTCATATCTTCAGAATGAGTTGTGTTGTGTTTGTCTTTGGATAAGGAATAATTCTTGGGGTAGTGGTTCTTTTGTCTTGTCTTTAACCAAACCTGTAAGTGCTTATTTCAGAGCCAATTTGTGACAGATGGCCAAGAGGTAACTTCTGAGTAATTTGATGTCCCTCACTCACCTGGTAACCAGTTCTGTAATAAAGGGACACTTGATCTGTGGCAGTTTGAGATCCAAGGAGAGGGAATAGAAACACTCTGTCATTGTCCTGGACTAAAGCTGAAATGTGTTCTTTGGGGGTGGCCTACAGGATCGAGAGAGGGTTCTGTCGTCTTCCGACCAGAGTAGCAACAGTGATGTTGCAGGAGCCACAGCAGCTGTAGAAGAATTGGTCCTGATGGAGCGCTCTATGGCCAGGGAGCCTGCAGCTTCCCAGGAGAAAAAGGTGGGTTTTTTGGTCCCTAGAACAAGCACAGTTGGGATCCAACTCTTCGCTATAGTGTAAGATAAGCAGGCAATGAGGATACCTGCCTTTCTCAGAGCATTATACCAGAGATTGTAATTCTTTCTTTCTTCTGAATGGAAGGATGTGAATTGAATACCGATGCTATGCTGTTTCTTCTGTAACAGGGTGTTCTGGCGTACCTTTCCGCATTTGATGAAGAGATAGTGGAAGCACACTCTGATTCTGGGAGCTCCTTTCCTCTTCCCCTGGAAGCAGAAGAGGAGGAGATATCTGAGGTGGACACTAGGAAGTTGGCAGATGTGAATGCTTCAAAAGAAACTAGTCCATCAGATAGTAAATATCAGGAATCTAATGTTACAACCAGCAGTGGACGATTGAGCAACTCCTCTCCTTTTTACTATTTCTATCAAGGTTAGTGTAATGGAGTCTCTGTGGAGGGAGAAAAAAGTGCTCCAGAGGCGGCATTTGTAGCTTCCATGGATTCATGAGCTTGTTATCCCCTATGAAAGAACTTCTTCACACAAGGAAGTCTAAAATTTCTTTTTTAATGTGTGAGACTCAGCTGGGAGGAATAGCTTTGATAAAACAATAATTTCAGGGGAGTTAAGAGTGCCTGAAGTGGAGAAGTGACAAGTGAGTTTCTTCCCTTCTAGCGGAGGATGGACAGTGTATGTATCTTCACCCTGTGAATGTTCGCTGTCTTGTTCGTGAGTATGGCAGCCTGGAAAACAGTCCAGAGAAGCACACTGCAGCTGTGGTGGAGATAACTGGCTACTCTATGACAGAGGTAACTGCTATAGCTTCCCCTGTATTCTCAGTGATGGTTTCTTTCCTCAGGGAGGGCAGTTGAGGGCTGATTGGAAAGCTAGTACTAGGAAATAGCAGTTGTCAAGCAATTTCTAATACTTAACTGAAGCACCTCTCTTTTTTTGGGGGGGAGAAGGGGGTGTGCTGGGGGGTAGGGTCAGGATCTGCTTTTCTTGGAAGGCACCTTTGAGGCAGCAATGCCTATAAGCCAGATTTCACCTGGATTGACTGACTTCATTGGTGTAGCTTTCATTCTCTGTTCCTGAGAACATATTAATGTGGAGTACTTGGCAATATAAATATTGCCAAGACTGGGTCTGAGAACAAGTGGTGGGTGATGGTAATGTCATGTCCTAAAAATTGTATGAAACCCATGGTTGGGAAGTAAAAGACTTAGCCTGGAGGCCAATAAGTTCTGCTGCAATTAAATAGCTAATATCTCTTCTCCTTTCAGGATGTGCGACAGCGCCATCGTTACCTATGTCACTTGCCTCTCACCTGTGAGTTCAGCATCTGTGAACTGGCTCTGAAGCCTCCTGTCATATCTAAGGAGACCCTAGAGACATTTTCTGGTTAGTGCTTTCATTCCGTTTCCAAGTAGGGATCATACCCTGTAACCAGTGCTCTTTTTGTGACTGTACTGCCCGGTATGCAGTACTGGCATCTCCAGATACAGTACCAGCACCTCCAGTCAGAGCTCAGCAATTTTTCCCCTGGGATACAGGCACCTTTTTCAGTTATTTACTTATTTTTACCAAAAAAGCACTGCCTGTGACCATGAAGAGTTTGGAAGAAGGGGTAGCTGGGAGGGCAAATGGATAATGTGAATATAAAAGGCTCACTTGTTCTTCAGTCAGGCTAATTGTTCATGATGTTCATATCTAGAACTAGGGATTTGCCCCGCTCAGACTGAAGAATATTTTTGATTTGTCTGCAGCAAGTGAGATTTTTGTGTGTGGAATAGACAAAAATGTGAGAGTATGGACTAATGTGAGTGAATTTCCAGTCATACATGGATACTATGCTACACTTACTGTTTAACTTATCCATAAGTAACTCCAAAACTGGAAAGACTTACCAATTAGCTTTTTAACCTGGTATCCTATGCTTTATGTAACTCTTAGATGACATTGAAAAGAGGAAACGCCTGCGGCAGAAGAAAGCTCGTGATGAACGGCGTCGGGAACGCAGAATTGAGATGGAGGAGAATAAGAAGCAGGGCAAGTGTAAGTCTCTCTTGGGCACAACTAGTGGATTTCTACTTCTATTCACACCTTCCCAGCATTTGAATTGAGAATTTAGGGGATTTGTATTGAGCTACAGTTTGAAGGCCTGCCATGATTAATACATATTCACCATAACTTTGCTGTAAAACTCTAGCATTCTTTCCTTTTACTGAGATGAGTTGTGCTAGCTGGGTCAAAACATTTGACACAGCACAATTAAGTTTCTTCTCTACTATGCCCAGCCTATTGAAGCTGAAGAATGTGGTAGATCTTGCAGTGGAAAGGATGTATTGTATCCCTGTAACTTCCTGGATTCTGTGTCTAAATCCAAAGTCTCATTTTCAACTGGAAATGTGAAGGAGGAACAAACATCTTCACAGGGATTATCTCTACCAAGGAGCAGGTCTTTTAGTTGGGTTTTTCTCAAGGTGTCAATGACAGTATCATTGTTTTCCTTCAGAGATCACTCCCAAAGCTCCTGAAACAACTTAACACTTGCGCACTAGTGACCCATTGCTTACGAACATTGCTTAATATGGAATAATGTTATTAAACACTATTTCTGGTTTTCTCTCTAGATCCAGAGGTCCACATTGCTTTAGAGAACCTGCAGCAGTTTCCTGCCTTCAGTTCTTGCTCAGGAGAACTCACCAGCAGTGAAAATCAGAGCTCCTCTTTGTCACTTCTTGATAGCTCTGTCTCTTTCACAGGTGAGTAACTGTGAGAATACATAGATCAGGGGTCCCCAACCTTCTGAATTAATAAAAAGGGGGGGGGGGGGGTGTCAAAATGTTGG